TCACTAATTTTTAACGTATTATTTGTTTAATTAAATTTTTATTTTAAAATTTCCTTAAATTACATGAATCATGAGTGAAATAAGTTTATATTTTTAGATAATTTACAGAATCCGGCGTTACTTTGTCAATGTAAATTTGTGTAGGTAAAAAAACTCACATACAAGGCCGCGCAGAAACAACCACTATTTAATTTCGGGGCTTACTGTGCGTAATTTTGGGATTTTGTGTTTGGCTTCTTATTTTCTGACTAGGTTTTAACTTTTTGGGACTGTTTTTTCTATATTCGCTGGAGCGTGTGCTCATGTCACAAAGGATGATTGGGTGAAATGGTAGAGAAAACAAAAAAATGTATATATATATATAGTATATATATATATATATATATATATATATATATATATATATATATAATATATATATATATATGTGGTTCCCGTTAGGTGTGTTATCAGAATCAGTATTCAAGCGTATAGAAATATTTTTTTTCAAAAAACACATTTAAAAAATTATTTTTAACGAAAAAAAAATTAATTTTCAAATTGTATGTGGTTTTATTTCCTCTAACTCGCACGAGTATCGGTAATGCGGGGTCTTAGACAATCCTCTAATTCCTCGGCAAATGCAGAGATAATAAAACCACATACAATTTGCAAATAATTTTTTTTTAATTAAGATTAATTTTTTTAAATGCCTTTTTTTGAAAAAAATTGTTTCTACATGCTTGGATACCGACTCTGATAATGCAGTTAACGGGAACCACAGGGTTTTTGTTACATGTTGTATATTACATTACTTTTGACTGCATTATTGAAAACCAAATAGTAATTAATCTAAACAACGACAGTTCTACTAGTTGTACTGAGTGATTGAATAAATTTATTTTGAATCTAGTTTCAATCTTAATTTTTTTTAAATTTGCCTCTAGATTTAAGCAGTAACAAAAAATAAGAAGAAACTGATAAATGTTGTGTATTAAATTATCCGTTTTTAATTTATTCTGGTATTATTCAAACCAAACTGTAAATGATTACTAACTCTAAGTAATCGATATCGATTTTTTTACAGGTTTTTTTTTCCATTTGGTTTACAGGTGTACATAAACTAGAAACAAAAGAAAATTTCAATGATGACAACACTGTGTAACCTGTGAACTAAGTTGAACTCAGTTGTTACGCAGATCGAACAAATAAGTTCACCTTAGTCCAAACCTGCTACGTCTGGCTCAACGACGGGCATCCACGACTTTTTCTGCCACAAGGGCAGCGTCACTTAAAATGAGGTGTAGGTGTGATATTTGACAGATTGGGGAAGTTAATTTGTTCGAAAGATGTAAAGGTTAATGTTACTTTCTGCACCATTAGTTATATTTTATATTAATTATTGTAAAAATAAATAAACCAAACCACAGATATTCATAAAAACAGAGCAAATAAAAATATTGTTACAAATGTTCAAAAATATTAAAGAATAAACGACTGAAACACTGTTTTGTGTATTAAAATAGTATTCTAGAAACCAATAAGCTTTTATTTAAAATTAAATTATCAATTAAATCAAATGGGTGCGTTTGGCAGAAAAAAGCGCTAGCAAGCGCTTGTAAACAAAATGGCGATCGTAAGCGGTAAGTGCTGTCAAAGCGTAAGTAGCTATTTTCCTCTAGGACACGATGTTAGTTTTAACCGGGGAACCTAACCTAATTTAAATATATGTTTGTAAAGTATTCATATTAAAAACTTACCAATCATGAATTTTTAATAACATGTATATGTTTATTCATGTCATTATATTACTTAAAACTAATATTGCACAAAAGAACTTATAAACTACTTCAAAACAAACAAATTAAATAAGCAAAATGGCGGATTGTGTCAGCGCTACTGAAGTAGCAATCGTGTCCTGGCCGAAAACTATTTTAGCGCTTGTAAGCGCTTGCCAGCGCTTTTTTCTGCCAAACGCACCCATTGTGTAACACAGAACTGCACCTCAGTGTCAACTAGCGACCTCTGGTGAGATTATTAGCCCTCATTATATGAGAATGACCTTCGTCCGTAAACAAATATTTTTGAAACTGAATATTTTTATACAAAAAATTTATAATAACAATTTTTTATAGAATCTTTTGTTTAATAAAGTTTTTAAACATGGCAATGCAGTTTTAACTTTTACAAATTGTGTATATTTTCATGGATTTTGTAGTAAATGAGTAAACATCGACCCTATTATAAATTACTGACTCTGTGAAGTTGAGTACTCCTAGCTTGTGTCTGTTCCTAGTATAGATAGAGATTTCCTAGTATTTACAGATTTTTTATCATTTATTTTATAGCTAATTTTAGTTTTATTTACATACCATACATTTTTGTAAACGTAAGGAGAGGCCACAGTTACTAAAATAATTGTCTGTGTTTTTATCTTAGAGACTTTAGGTTTAAATCATAGATTGCTTTTATGGCCCTCTTCTGCAAAACTAATATAAATGATGTGACAGTCGCGTTTCGCCTTTGAAAAATACCAATCGGCATTATGTTATAGAAATTGCTACAGTTAACTAGCCTTGATGTTTGAAATAAAAATGGCGTCAAAAGACTGAATTCCTCCTCATCTTTTTAGATGATAAAAGTATTTTGATGTTTATCATTCAGAAATATAAATTTTACATACTTAGTTTCAGTGCCATGTCAATTCAAAAATAAAAATAAATAATTTAGTAATATAGGTGATGCCAAACGCATATACATTTATCCTCCAGAGGATTAAGATGGAATGCTTCATTTCCAGTAAAAAGGGTCTCCGATTCTCTACACTCACCATATAAAACACAAGAGCATAAAGCTTCTATTTTGCGCTAGTAATCTGTGAGAGTGTATTCCTACACCTGTCTAGGCAACCCATTTATGCTACAACCGTAATATAGCTGCAACGTTGCTCTGCTACGTGTAAAATATAGATAAAAAACAGAAAGGGGCCGAGAGTTGAGGCCTGAGGTATGCACAATTTACTATCAACTTTCAAGGAAGGACTTTCAAAAATTCAAGGAAGAAGTAATACCATTGATAAATACTTTTTGCGTTCTGTTACTTAAATATTACATAATAAATTTAATTGCACTTCTTCTTGCATCATAGTATTGCAGTGCAATATTTAATGTCTCATGGTGAACACATTCGAAAGCTTTTAAGCAAACTAACGCTTCGTGTTTTGTGTCGTAGCTGTCCTATATATGGGGCATCAATTTCAGAACTTTGATAGCGCGATGTAGGCTTCGGTGTGTTCCCGCTTGTGGTGCAACCGCTCCTCGGGTTGAACACCCTGCCCGGTGGAAACCTCTTTAAATCTTCAAAATTAGCGGGGTCAAATGATATGATAGATTTAAATAAAGGTATCACTTTACTCTGTTTAATCAGGAGGCAAACCAGATTTGATAGTAGTATTTACAATAATAGCTAGCTGTATGTATCTATCATAGACGCAATTAATTTAACGGCAATCCACCGTCACACATCTTTGATTTGACATCATCTTTGAAATAGTCTACGAAATTTTCTGATGATTACATTTTGCTTGAGTAATGGTTCGTCGACAAATGGGCAAAAATACAGTGACAGGGTAGTTAAGATCGGAATTTCAGTAAAATATTTCTCAAACAACATTTCAACTCAAAAAAATCCCGATTGGATTTAATAAATTAATTGTTAAAATTTAATTGGTGGTTTGATTTGTGAGACTTGACTCTACCAGTATCTATTAATTATTATGCTCCATGTCATTTTAATTTCATCAGAAGCCATCTTAGTTTTGTTGTTGTCTTCGTCAGAACCAAATTTTTGAATTACTTATTGATGCAACGGTTTAAATTTTTTTGTAAAAATGTTATCTAAACATGTTGCAATAGATTCAGCGATATGCGTTTGCTTTTAAAAGACCGTATGATTTTTAACAATGATCTTAATTTCATATTAGTTGAAACGCTTAAAATATTGATATTATGGTCCCCACATATTAAAATAGATTTTTTATTAAGCTTGAAAAAACTTTCTCCATAATTTTTCAAAAAGAATCAAATATAGAACATCGGTCTATAGACGCTCACAACAATAAGGTGCTTTCAATATATGCCATACCTTACCGTTCTTTACATGATAATAATTTACTAGCTAATATTAAGGAGCCACGGCTTATAACTACGAGTATATGGTTTCTATATGGAAATTAGGGACCGACTGGTGATTATTGGAATTAAACTTCAGCTACAATGTAGCTACAGCATGGCTCTACCAAGTAAAGGTTTATAATATTAGATTTATTGTACGTATTAGATTCTTAATGTTATTCTTTAATGCAATGTAATTTTAATTGGTAAATTCTGATATAGTAAATTAAACAGAATATAAGATAAAACCTATTATTTTACTTGTTTATCATTTCCTGGTCGAGCCAACCCATTCGTAGAAAATCATAATATAGCTTTTGAATGCTATACCACGCTTAGATTTATGTAATGTATTAGATATTTATATTATTCAATAACTTAAAATAATTGTTTAATAGTTAAATTCTGAAATATTAAATTAAGATAAGTATAATTTAGTAGTTCGTGAACTTTAGTAACCTTGGGATGAACAAAAACTACATGTCTAAAAAATATTTTTAGTATTATTCAATAATTTAATGTAATTGTTTCACTAGGGAAGTTTTTTAAGTAATTGTTTAATAGTTAAATTCTGAAATATTAAATTAAGATAAGTATAATTTAGTAGTTCGTGAACTTTAGTAATCTTGGGATAAACAAAAACTACATGTCCAAAAAATTTTTTTTAATATTATTCAATAACTAAATATAATTGTTTCACTAAGAAAATTACAAAATATTAAACTGATATAAATGTGTTATACTGATTCTTACTTCTCTCGCCCTAAGAACATCTTTCTTTATTATTTATACGTCATCTGAGCCTTGCATAACGCATGTGGGGTCGGCGGTGTGGTTCGAAAGCTTGAACTAAGAATTTGCTTCCAGCTTTAGCACCTCCATCCACCATCGTACTAATATCAGAAGGAATGTTTGAAAAACTGAAACAAATCAGCATTGTTTTGTAAAACAGAAAAGCCAAAAGGACTTACAACTTGATGGTAACTGTCTCTAGACACCTGCAACCATTTCAAACAAAGGACGCTACAGATGCGTTGACAGCTCTGAGGACTAAGCTTGTTCGCCTTACAGCCTGTAATTGTACTGGATTTCCATATAACTCAGGTATAAAAGTACAGGCACTGCTGTTTGACGGAAAAATGGGTATGAGGGTCGTATCTAACCAAACTGACTTCTAGGCAGTTTTTTTATTTGGTAACATGGATGTTTTTATTTAGTACTGCATTATAGTTGAGTCGTTTGAACCTGGTTTGATCCCCGCCGGCACCAATGAAATTGTTGAAATTTTAAGTACTGATTTACCATGTGCTCGGCGGTGAAGGAAAACATTGTGAGGAAACCCGCATGTTTGAGAAATAAGAAAAAATATTTCGGAGACATGTGAAGTTCGCTAACACGCATGGGGGGCAGCGTGGCGGAATATTTCGTTGCCCTAAAACCTCATCAGAAATGAGTGGAGGGCTGTGCCCAGCAGTGGAACGTATATAAGCTGTAACTTTATAGTTGAGATCTTCTTTTAATAATATAAAATTTTTTGTACCAGAAGGCAACAATCTTTCTTAGACTTATTCTACTAGAATTTACTTCTACCATCTAAGGATATATTTCTATCTAGAAAAGTTTCTATTTTATTCATGTTCGGAGGGTATGGCTCTCTGACTCAATGCATTTTAATTATCAGTTTTCATTTTGTAAGCTTCTTTTTTCCTAGGAGTCGTACCCCTCCACTTAATAGCCAAGCAATAGTGCATCCACTATCGAGTTCTGGTGCTGTTTCACTGGTAAAACAGTCAGTAAGACTGTTTCCCTTTCCCTTGGCGCAAATTGCGAGAAAAGTTGCCTGGTTGACTTATAAATATATTTTAATCTCGCCCTCCCCTTATTGCGTGCACTATTCCCGTGACCACTAAACCCAACACCATTACTTTCAATCTCAACACATTTTCACTGGGATAGACACACTACCTACATAGTACAACAAGATTTTCTCTTCTTAACGAGGTATCATCATAAGAAATAGACTCGGCGATGGCAGGCCGCTAAGATCCTAGTGTAGGGATAAGTGGTAACAAGAATAGTGCACGTAATTATAGAAGGGCGGGAGGTGCTCTTCAAACTACGTAAGATACATCATTCTCATTTTTAAGTGAAGCTATGCTATATAATTTTAAGATTTTAAATATTATGGATTTCCGCAAGGTAACGCCTCATTCAATTAATTATATCGTTTACTTGTGTCTTTAATACGTCATTTATGAAGTGAGAGCAACTTTGGCATTGCTTAAATTGACGTAGTTCATAGCTACAGATTTTGCGAATTATGACATTTACCGTCCAATTCAAAACTTTCCATTTTGGTTCGCCTATTTTTCCTCACGGGACTTATTTATTAAAACAGATTCTAGTTTTAACTTGAGACAAATTATTAATTTTTTTTGTAGAAAAGACAGACAGTTTTTCATGAAATTATATAAGAGGTTAAAGACATTTAAATAATATTCATTTACTACCAGCAGTGATGATTATTGAAATTAATGTTGTCATTGGTTCTTAATACGTTGATTATTCAGACTTCCGGAAGCGGGTGAAAACTGAATTAATGAAATTCCGTTACAATCATGCAAAGATACACGCAGGTATAAGTTATTAGAAGATTTGTAAAGACAACTTACTTGTTGAGGTAAATGAACCTTTTAAAATTAAGTGCCATAAATTTGATTCTTCGTAGAGATTATTCTCTGGAGTAACTTTATAAACAAGGCAAGAGTATAAGAGCGCACTGGCTGTGAAAACGAACTCACGTGCGATTCTATAGCGGTAGCAAAGTAGTAACAACGTAGTATGTTTCTGAAACAAACAAAATATTATCTTTGGAACTGTGCGTGGTAGAGCCATACTGCATTTATATTATGGTTTTAGCACATTTGCGTCAGTTCGATCGGGGAAAGTCCACGCTCTTACAAAATAGCAGCAGCGTGCAATTACAGTGAGCCGGAGAACCTTTTTAACTGGAAACAAGGCATTCCATCTCGTTATTTTAAGTCGCTAGGGGGTGTCCATTAATTAGGTGAGACGTTTATAGGGTGGAGGGCGTCAAGCCGTGTCTCACACAATCTCACGTGAGGGAGAGGGAGGTTCTCGACATGATTTTTTCGCAAGAAATAGTGTAAAATTTCGAGAATAGTGGCTTAAATTAAGTGAAATATGGCTAAATCTACACAGTAATATTTATCACGGTTATGCGAAGTCCATAAATTGTATAGCAAATTAGTTTTTGTCAATAAACCACGTCTTACGACATCTCACTAGGGAAAGGAGAAGAGTAGATAAATCGCCAAAATAACCTCATGTAAGTATCGGACGCCGCCTTAGGGTTGGCAACGCATCTGCATTTTATTTCTTAATCAAGAATAGATGCAGATGTCAATAGATTACAACATTTACTTTTCATCAAGTGGATAGTGTATTCATTTGTTTCCCTTGTTCAATGAATTATTTAAATTTAAAAAGTTTTTATAGGTGGTGTTATCATCAAATCAAAAATTATGTAAGCTAAACATTTAGGTTGCCACAAAGTACAGTCCTGAGCCACCTGCATCCATCAGTGTGCGTTCGCCCAACAATGAATTTGCCTGTTCTCCCCCATCGTTTGTCGGTTTTTCGAGCTATATGGCTGGCCTGTTGCCACGTCAGCTGACTGATCCGATATTATGTATTATATTGTATGATATGCATTTATACCAGTATGTGTGCTGTGCCAATAGCACACACACTACTATAAGTAAAATGTGAACACACGTCTCTGATACGATAAAATAAATCAGATTCAACCTGATATAAAGAGTTTTATCTCTTTCCTCCCCACGCAAGCCCCTAAGATACACTAGCCATCAAGTTTCACCACAGTAGAAAGGTGAATACAGCCTTTTTCATCCCTGAAAACTTGCATGCCTACGATAAAAAAATATTTCTACTATTTGTCAAGCTCAGTAATTTGTATCGATTAGAGCGTTGGTCAATTTGTTTGCTTCTTAACAATCTCGATATATCAGAGGAGGCATATGCCCAATGATGGGATGCCTGTTGACTGTAATGAGCCACTATTGAATTCCTGCATCATTTACCAGGTCGTCACTCCTTTTAGTGGGAAACCACCCTACACTTTGTTAATCGGTACGAGTCTACTACTCGAAAACCTTTCTTCCCCAGTATGAATACAGGCTATAAAACAAGAAGTTAACTAAAATATATTGATCGGATTTTTTAGAAAAGACTTGACAGTTAGTAGATGTTGAAAAGCGTTGCTCTAAAACGGCATAAGATGTAACTTGGTTTATATTATAAATAAATCGTGTTTTTAAATTAAACTCACCTTATGAGCGCCGATTATGAACACCAAGTTGAATACAATATCCAATAAAAGGATACTTAGTATCTCCACAGTCAACGCTATAATAATCATGGGTTGTCGAAATACAATTTCGTCTAAAATAAGGATAAAGATCCAAGAAAAACCCATTAATAATAACGTAATACTTGTGTTCAAAAATAGCAATAGGGAGTCATTTCATCATACGGCATCACAGCTTTACGGGCTAGCCATTTCTGAACATCGGCCTCCCTCAAGGAATGCCTCAAAGCACAGTCCTAAGCCAACTGCATCCATCGACTACCTGCATATCTTACCAGAACATCACTCCAACTAGTAGGGGGCTGCACTACACATCGCTTACAGATACGGGGTTGCGACTCATGAATCTTTCTTCCCAATCGATTATCGGTAATTGTCGGTCGGTATGTTCTTCAAGCCATAGGCAATCATTTAAATAAGCTCGTTGTTTAAAACATCGATTCCTGAAATCTCTCTAAATATTTTTTCTTAAACATTTTTTCCTAATAATTTCTACTGTATAGTGTAGGCTAGGCATTTCACTAACTCGTACATAAGACACGCGTAGCAAAACTCACAGACAAGTAGCAATTATTTGTAGGATATACTCGTATATGCACGTGGTCCTTCACTGCTGGCCGTATGAGGACGCTCAAGGTCGCTCAGCGAGCTATGGAGAGCGCTATGCTCGGAGTTTCTCTGCGTGATAGACTCAGAAATGAGGATATCCGCAGTAAAACCAGAGTGACCGACATAGCCCAACGGATTAGTAAGCTGAAGTGGCAATGGGCCGGCCATATAGCTCGAATAACCGATAACCGATGGGGAAGATAGGTTCTCGAGTGGCAGCCTCGTACTGGTAAGATATGCAGGAAGTCGATGGATGCAGGTGGCTCAGGACCGTGCTTTGTGGCATTACTTGGGAGAGGCCTATGTTCAGCAGTGGACTTGTGAAGGGCTGTAATGATGATGACGATGATGATATATGCACATATTTTTATTCCTAATAATCCGTTGAGCTATGTCGGTCGTTCGTTCAGTCCTTGAACGTCCTCATACGGCCAGCAGTGAAGGACCACGTGTGAGATCCATAAGTTATCACTGGTTGTATATCACGTTTTTAAGTTTTGACGTAAACTTGATGAGAAGCTGTGTCGTAATTTTCTGAACGCTACCCAGCCCAGTTGAATCCGTTGATTGATTACGGATTAATAAGCTGAATTGGCAATCATCTGGCCATATAGGTCTAGAACTGACAACCTCGTACCAGTAGGGGAAGTGTTGGGCGCTTGATGGAGTGACGACCTGCTAAGATATACAAGAAGTTGATGAATGCAGTTGCCTGAGGACCATGCATTATGGCATTCCTTGGTCAGAATGTTCAGCAGTGAACTTGTGAAGAGCTGTAATGATGATGATGACGATGATATTTTTATTTTAAGCGGGAAGCTAACCGTAGCTCGAAGTGTCACAGACAAAACCATATACTTTGCTCTACCGCGTTATCTTTGGAGGCATGTGTGAAAAGCATAGAAATACTTCTTTCTTATATCTATGGTGAAAAGGCTTTTGTTAAGCTTAACTTTTACATTCTAGTGCCCAAACTGTTGCTTTTAGCAAATAAAAGTTAAAAATACGTATAATATAAAGAATACAGCATGGAGGCATCGTCTTGCGTATATGCATAAACTAGAAACCAAAAAACTTTTTAATATTTTAATCTCAACTTTTCAATGATGACACTGTTTAACCTGTGGACTAAGTTGAACTTATTTGTTACGCAGATCGTAACAAATAGGTTCACCTTAGTCACAATCAGCTACATCTGCCTAATTTATATGAAAATGACCTTCGTCGGAAAATACAATATTTTTGTAATCACAAGCGCTCCAACATTGTTACATCAAAAACATGTCGTGAATTGTGATCATTTGGCTTTATATTCTGCACAAGCTGAATTATAAAGGAGTGCACTGTTAATTGTATCGCAAATATACGATGCAAAGGTGAGCTCGGCAGGTTGCTTGAGAGTTGATAGTCCGGGATCGCGTTGTGTGAAACGCTAACTTCATTGATTGCTTCATCTGCACTTATTGAGGTTGGGCATCCTGCGGGTTTTTGATTGATAGTTGAACCACACTTTTACTGGGACATAGATTTAGATCATTTATAACGCAAGAAGTTTGTTAACAGGATTGTAGATGTTAGTTATCAGGCGTTAATTATTCGGGATTGGATTTAGATAAAATTTGAGACACTGTAAGACCATGTCCTAGATATTATAATTGAGATATATTTATATAATATACCAAGGTGATATTTTTCACGTCGGTGGACTACTTTTTATCTTCACGTTTACATAATGCAAGCGGAAAAGTATCTAATTATTTAAATTTATATATCTTAATACATAAACTGTACTAATTTAATAAAACTACCCCATGCTCAAGCCTCTTAAAAATTTATATTACGAGTAATGTTTTATGCTTAGATGCTTTATTAAAATTGTAGTAAAGTTAAACTTACCAAGTTAAAGTAAGCCCAGAGTAAAATCTCGTATTTGGAGGGCGTAGAGAAGTGAATTAAAATTTTTTTCAATAATGGGATATCTGTAGACATTGTATTAAAATTTCACAATACAAATATAAACACATAAAATCTTCGAAATATACGCGTTCGAAAAATACAGACAAATCGAGCGCAGAGGAAGGACTGTCGTATATTAAGGCTTCAATAAGCCTGAATGTACTTGACGAAACGGCAAACGCAGAGATTTTAGACAACGTCTACTTCGTCTAGCGGCTATGCTCTGTGTGTCCTACCACACCTTAAATACTTGTGTGGAACTCAGTGTTGGGAAATAGTTGGTGCGAAATTATGGTGTTGCCAAGCTAGAAAATATTGTATTTTGGGTGGAATTATTGTATTTTTTGCTAAAGATTTTTTTATTTATTTAAGCTGTCTAAATCCAAATTTAATAGGTTTCTGCTATTTCTTTATACATATTTACATAAACTAAATATATGTTATTAAATGTTTTTTTTTAATTAAAATAATAAAACTTAGGGCACGGAATTATACAATATGAACTAAACAGGAATGGAATTTTTTTTGAAGTCGTCTTCTTCTTCGAGTTCGAAATCTCGACGTGTAGATGTAGACGGATTTGACTGCTGAGAAGTTGTTGCATATGGGACATTGGAGACAATTTGATTTGCCAATTGTTTCGTGGGTTCAAATGATATGCATTCCTATACAAGACGTTTTGCGCTTTTAGAAATATATATTGTGTAAAAATAGGAAAATATTGTATAAAAGCGTACAATAATGAGAAACCTATGTTTTATGGTACAATTTAGTTTCGTGTAACAAATTATTGTAAGAATCCAATAATTATTGTACATTTCCGAACACTGTGGAACTTGTTGTAAAACGCCTTTAACGTAGGCGCTGCCGCCTCCCGAGTAGGTATTCAGACGCCCAGCGTTAATTCTGGGGGTTGTTAGGAAAATTTTGAATGATCTAAGGGAAAATGAAAATAAAATAATTTCGGACATTATAATACTCACTTCATCATTTATTAACATTATGAACATACTACGGATATCCTTACTTTTAATTCTACCTGACTACCGCTGTCTGTATGAGAACCCCCGAGCATAACCCTCTCCATAGCTCGCTGAGCAACCGTCAGATTCCTCATGCGACCAGCAGTCACGTTTGACTTATTTAATATTTTAATTTTTGTCAGATTAGTTTGTCAAACATTTAAAGAAAACATAAACTCAATAATGTCTTTTAAAACACAATTTAATTTTATTTCAATTGTTTGATTTAATTTTATAATAGTGTACCTAAATATTATATGTATCCATAGCCAGGTTTTCACCGACAATAACGTTAAATTAAATTCATTGTCGTAAAAACAGCGTTTTCAGTAATTTGAAGTAATGTAAATCGGTATAACCAACTTAATAAAAATTTATAAGCAACAATAAAGTTAGATGGGTATTACGATTAAAAACTATCAAAATCTAAGTAATTAGTGCATGTTGTTCGTTCCACATCTAAATTATATAAAAATGCATTATTTTTAGTCCAGGAGGAATCAAGCCGTGTTGTGTGTGTGCAATTTTACATTTAGAGAAAAATTTCATCCGTAGGGTTGAAAATATAGAATGAATATTTTTATGTAACCATTCAGAAATTGTAGTTGTGACATTGAGCTTGTGATATTCCTTAGTCCACCCGAAAGGTCCCGTCACACAGTCCACTATATGGTTAGGTTGCAATGACACATTTTCTTCTATTGACTAACTAAATGTAGTACTACTACTACTACTAGTGTAATATATGTGGATCTTTTTTTTATATAGGATAGGGTGACATATGAGCACACAGTCCACCTGATGGTAAGTGGTTGCTGCGGCCCATAGACATCTACATCTATCCTCGATTACAAATCAAAATGCAGATGCATTGTTACCCGTGAGGACTAAGATGGAAATCCTGGTTTCCAGTAAAAAGGGTCTCCGGTTCTCTACACTCACCATACGAAATACAGCAACATTAAGCTACTATTTCACGCTGCTATTCTGTGAGAGCGTGGTCCTTCCCCGGTCGAGCCGACCCATTCGTGCTACAACTATACTACTAATATAACTGCAGCATGGCTCTACCAGGTATAAAATTCTAATTAAATCTATTAATGACATTTATCATTTAATGAAAATGAAATGTGTTAAATTCACGGGAGTAAGAGAATTATTGATACAAAAATTAAATATGTATGTAATTATTTCTTATAGAAACACAGCAGCATTTCGCTGCTATTTTACGCTGGTATTCTGTAAGAGCGTGGTCCTGCCCCGGTCGAGCTGACCCATTCATGCTACAAATACAATATAGCTGCAGCTTGGCTCTACCAAACATCTTTTTTTATGCTTATCCTCAAGTTTTCAACGAGTCAGTTCTGTGAGTGTTATCGTAGCACAGCACTCGCTTATAATTATAGTACGTGAGGGTAATGTGTTCATCCGGTTAATATGGTCACTTTTTATAACTCTCAAACC